GGTAATCCCCATTCGGGACGTCTTGGACCTTTCTGATTGCATTGGGCTTCCTATTTTCCCTAGGCCTCCTTTATGCTTTGGACCGGGCATATTGGACTTGGGCCCAATACCCCAACACGCGATATACTGGTATAATATCGTACTGACTCCCTACTCAACAATTACTTTTAATTCTAATATATTGTAAAAATCCATTACAATTTTGAAGCAGAAAATTAATACTTAAGTTGGTTACAAATACAGAAATAAAGGCCCAATTTCTCAAACCCACTATAACCTTACAGGCTTCTACTACGCTAACCTTAATGACTAATGAGTAATGTACAAATGTCAAGAAACAAGTCCATCTTGTTCCAAGAGCTTGCAAGTCATGATGGCTGGGCCGCTAAGTAGCTAACGAGTGAAGAGAGATACACTTATGTGACAAGTGCATCTACATCGGGATTCCGCGAGTCGAGACACACAACTTTATCCGAAAGTCTTATTCAATTTTTAAAAAATTATAAAAATGACTAAATACACAATATCATATTAGGAATAAATGATTTTATATCCATGTTGTTTGAATAGTTTTATTTAATTATGTTAGAGATCACTATTGATTTAATTATATCTATATTGTTCAAGTTATTTTAGGAGAATGTGTTACTTTTAATATGTGGCATGTTGAACTGCTTAAAAATACTAATAATAATTATTGTTCAATATTGAATTGACATCAATAGATTATTAATTGTATTTCGTAACATTTTAATAATAGATTTAATATGTCACTAGTAATAACGATTTAGTATATTTCGTTAGTCTATGATAATTTTTTGTATTGGGAGACATGCACGGTAATTTACCGATACCGTACCGTTACCGAACCGAAACTTCGGTATACCGAAATGCGGTATACCGAAACTTTGGTAAGGTAAAGGTATGCAAATTTTGCATACCGAAAGTTTTGGTATGACAAAGGTATGAGAAAAAATATAAGGTATACCGTACCGAACCACCCCTAGACCCTAGTCTTATCTGCTAAACATGGAATTTGTTATGCTGTCGAACTTGATTTGAAAAAGGTTTCTTGGTTGAAGGAGTCAATTCCAAAGCTTTTATCTGCTAATTGGGGCCATCCACGATTGCGGCTGAATAATTCTTTTTACATTCAATATGATGCCAATTTTTTTGGTGGGTTTATCCGTATCATCGATAAGGAGCAAAATTGTTTATTCATTCCCGAGGGAAGGAATGGCTTGGGGTTTTACCGCTTTCTGAATGGGCTTTCAAAAGCAACTACTTTTATGCATGAATTAGAGGTCAAGGTGCCACCACCTGCGATTAAGCAGGTCTCATGTGAGATTTTTTCAGGGTGCATGGATTCTGAATTCGTATGGGATCCTTCCATACCTCAGTCCGATGGAGATGACTCCTTTAAAAATGATATTTCTATTTCGGGTTTCTTACTTCAGGTTGATATTGAACGTTCTGCATCCGTTGAGAAATCGTTGGTGTTGAATACAGCTGATGATTCTGAACCTATACCGGACTTTGAATCTTCTATAGCAATCATTAAGGACAACTTTGAGAATACTATGACTAATGGAGTGGACTCGCTTTCTCAATTTTTAATTAGAGAATTTGAAAGAATTATGACCTCATCTTTGGGTAATCATAACTATTGGTTTAAGAGACCTGTTGAAGTAGAGAAAGCTAACGACCAAACTAATCAGGATGCAAATTCTTTGAGAGATGTGTTTATACAAAACCAGCACTTGGTAGCGTCTGAGAGTGAGGATGTCTTTGTTGATAATAATTCATACTCGGCGGATGAATTTCTTGGTCATGCTTCTGAGAGTGAGAAGAGGGCTCCGATTTCATCCCAGGAAGATTTATGGGACTCCGATACAAATGAAGATATCTTTAACAAATCAAGGCTAATTGTTTGCCTACGGAGAATCCAAACACTCAAATTAAGTTATATAGGAAGAAGCATCAACGCTCGCATATTATGAGAACCAGATCTCAATCAGGCTTGGATTTCTGCAGTTTAGAATGAGCTATTTGGATTCCTTGGGTTGTTTTTTACTTCGGGTTGGGCTATTTATATTTGTATTTCATGCTCATTATTTTCCTTTTCGTTTCTTTCCTTTTACTTGTTTTCATTTTCATTGTACTTCCCTTTGCTTATTTAATAAAATTTCCTTTCTCTAAAAAAAAAATAGTATACATTCTCATTTTAAGAGAAGTACTCACAAGAACACTCTTACACACAATTACACATAGAGAGATCTAAAAAAATGCTTAATTCAAATTATTTTTTTCTCTTTGGATATTAAAGAGTCTAGGAGAATATGATTATATTATTTCTAGTTTCAATTATCCTTATCCACTGTGTTATCTTTTTCAGAGAAGTTGAGTTCTAAATTTTTGGGCTCACATCGAGTTTTTCATGGTAAGAATTGACACCTTCATCACAAAGTTTACATATGAGTTACTTGGTCTTATATGATGGAGAATATTCATCCAACAATTGGAGGATTGTTAATTTATTACCGTAATCATTGTTCTAAAAATTGCTCTTGAGTTCAAATAGTCCATGCCTAGGCGCTAAACAGGTCGGGCACATCAATTTTTGTCTAGACGCCACGATTAATTAGTTTGGTGCCTAGATGAATTAGTCGACCGCCTTGTTGCCCACCCAAAATACCTATTCCGTCGCCTAGAGCCTCTAGATTCGGGCGACCAATTGTTTGCATTTCAATTTTATTTTTTTAAACAATACATGTACCTAGAAATTTAAGTATGGATTAGTAAAAAACATTAAGAATGGAAATGAAGAAGTTATATATATTTGGAAAAATAAAAAGTTTGATTATATATAAAGTTATATATAATCAAAATTTTGCTTATATATAAGTTTGAAAAGTTATATATATTTGATAAAAAGTAAAACTTTGATAAAAATACAATTTTTATGTCCACGAAACCTCCCCGCGTAGGCGCCTGCCTAGGCGCTAGAAAATAATATAAAAATGTTAATAAATACTGTAATAAATAAAATCAGTAAAATGAAAAAATAAAGAGTGATATCCCCAAATAAGAGTAAAACATAGGCAAAATGCAAAAATATGAGTATCATGTTTTGAATAGGAGTAATTTTAGTGTTTAAACAACTATACCCCTAATTAAGCCTCAAACTCCAACCACTTTCAATAATAATTAAAATGTAAAAGAAATAACATTAATTTATATCATAAAATGTAAAAAAAACACAAAAATATATATTAAATACAATATGGTCCATCTTAAATAAAATTTATAAAAATAAAAAATATTAAAATAAATAAATTCTTCAATAAAAAACTAAAAATATAAAATAAAAAAACTAAAAAATGTAAAAAAAAAATGTATTAAAAAAATGCAAGCCTCTGCTGCCACCTACACAACCTCCCAACACCACCTGCTTCTTCGACCACATGAACAAATGCTAACATTTAACAACAAAAAAACCATCTTGATGGAAGTTTTTGAGAAAATTTGACATTTTCAAAGAGTAAAAATGTCACCTTTATGACATTTTCAAAGAGAAATGACTTTTTTTAGATAAAATGACATTTTTTTCGCCGTACGAAGGTGATATTGCTGAGGGGTGGCCAAAGCTGTGGGAAAGGCCTCCATATTTTTTTTGTTTTTTAATGTGTTTTATCTAATTTATTGTTTTATAAAGTTTTTTATTTAAAAAAAATTATTATTATTTTAATATTTTTCCGAAATCTTTTTAGAATTTTTTCATATTTTAATTGGATCAAATAAATATTGTTTCTGAATTAATTAGATTAGAGGTATTAACATTTACTCCTATTGAGGAAAGTTTTAAGTTTTACTCCTGTTTGTGCAATTATGTACTACGTATATGTTTACTCCTATATTCACCAATTTCTAAAAAAATGTAAAAATGTATCATAAAAATGTAAAAACCTTTTAAATAGAAGTAGAATATACAAATATTTCCAAGAATACAAAAAAAAAAAACATGAACTTTGACTTTCTGAAAGTTTCCCGAATTTTTACTTGTATTTCTTAAATTTGATATTTATAGATTAAATGACCTAACAGATCAAGTTTTTAAGTAATTCTATTTATAAGATACTTTTTTTAGTATAGAGGCTCAAGTGATGGGATAAAAGCATGGTTCTAAAAATCGCTCTAGGCGCCCCATTAGTCCCCGCCTAGGCGGTAATCAGGCGCCCCGACTAATTGATCTGGCGGCTAGGTGAATTAGTCGGCCGCCTTAGGCGCCTAACTACCCGCCTAGAGCGCTTAATCGGCCGCCTAGGCATCTAGATTCATCGAAAATTTTATTTTGCTTTTTAGTTTAGTATTCTAAGAGATATATGTATCTTTAACTCTAACAACGCATATGAAGAATTAAAATAAATACTATAGATGTTTTTATATATTATTAAGTGTTATTATTATTTATTAATAATTATTAAGTAGAATTACTTGAAGTTAAGAAGTATGTATAATATGTTATAAAATGTGAAAACACTTATCATTCATGCATGTTAGTGTGTGTGTATGTGTGTGTTTTTATTTTATACACACATAAACACAACATTACTAGTCATATTTATGCAAAAAAATTAATAAAAATTATAAAACTATAATTTCTATGTCTCCAATTAATCCCCACCTAGGCGTCTAGGCGCTAGGCGCTGTGTTGGCACTTGACTAGCGCCTAGCGCCTTTTAGAACATTGGATGAAAGTATCAAAAAGATTTATTCGACTCTTCTTCCTATTATTATTCAATTGTATAAATATTTCATAAGCCAACTTGCAAGGGTATGTCAGTTATTCTTCCCACAAATAGTCTGAAATAGATCAATGGTCAAACGAGTGAATTGCTAATTGAAACACCTAACCCAATGTATATACAAATAAATCAAAATTGGATACACACCAACACCCACATACTATGTATTATGTAAGATATATTTAGAGTTACGTACTTATAATTGTTTTGTTAGGATTATTATAAGTTTTATACATACATCCACGTATTATAAAAATGTGAGTAGTATAATGCTAGTCATATTGACTATTCTTTAATTAATCGTGGACAAATTTGTCCAATGATACGTATTAGTATGGAATTATTTAAAATATGAAAATATATGAAAATGTTGAGTGTACACTTCTGTATGTACCCCATTCATATACTTTGTCTACACATATAAACTATCTATATACAGACAATATCTGAATTCCAAACGAACTCTTAGGTGGATAGGTAGGTAGAATTTGAAAAGTTATGGCGTGATGTTTGTAACTAGAACCATTTTCTTCAAATCATCAACATGTTGTACAAGTCCGTGCAAGACCTGAGGGAGAGAGAGAATTACTTAGTTGATAATAAAAACATGAACATCATGTTTGGGTACTTGGCATAAATATAGATGAAGGTTCCAGTCTCCTAAAATGGGAACAACTCCAGATTATGAGAATTGAGAACATCTTGCTATTGTTGTTTCTGAAAGAAAAACATAGGAATCATATTTTGGAAATCCAAAACTTGTTTACATCTCTTTCGGCCCAAATAATTACAAATATGTCACCATATCAATATTAGCCATATATTGATTGTAAAACAAAAGATTGAGATTAGAAGTTCTCATTTTAAAATAAGATCTCATTATAAGAGAGGTTCTCATCTATGCTTAGGAAACCAGACCAGACAGTGACCTCTTTAGAGGATCGGGTCGTGGGTCAACCGATTCAACCCGCAGGTCACATGTTTGTTTACGAGTAGTTTTGCACGGATATCTATTTGCACCGTATTGAATGTTGTTTTATAATTAATGGGGGGCACTCCCCCAATTCGTACATCATATTCCCTCATCCATTCGTTTTCTTCTCCCTTTTGATTTACTTTGTATGCACAGATCTAAAAAAGGAAACCGGAACTAGAGCATCCACCGGAAACTATGACATTCATCCTCTACAATCTACCACTCCGGTTACCACCCGTTTCCACCACGGGCGGTAACCCAGCGCGCATAACAAGTAGTAGGCGTACATTAGCACAATGAACGGAGGCGTTGGTGACCAGTGCGACGAGGAACTGCGTCTGCGCCGTCGACAGCCAGAGGTAGCACATCACCATCACCACGGTGTGGTGGTAGACGTGGAGGAACGAGAGCCGTCGGGAGCGGGACCCGCTGAGGATGATCAACACAGTTGTTATACCGTATGACCGGTATACGGTGAGCACCGTATACCGGCATACGGTTTTAGGAATCTTTGGAAGCTCCGCATGAAACATGTATTAAAATGATAGTGGGTCTTATTATTTATTTATTTCTCTTATTGTTAAAAACTATAATAACGTTTTCATTTGTAATCTGGTTTTTATAAAATTTATACCAAAATTTTTTATTTTTCATGATCTTTCAAATGAGACCAATATTGCCTATGTAATTTTAATATATTATCGAACTATTATATTAACACCTATGTCAAATATGTAATTTTACATGTAGAAATATGTAACTCACATTCAGGCAGGCAGAATGCAAATGCAACTCGTGTGTATAAATATGTAACTCTACATGTAAAAATATGTAACTTTACGTGTAAAAATATGTAACTCACGTTCAGATAGGTCAAATACAACTCGTGTGTATAAATATGTAACTCGCGTGTATAAATATGTAACTTTACGTGCAAAAATATGTAACTTTACGTGTAAAAATATGTAACTCGCCTTTAGGCAGGCCAAATGCAACTCGTGTGTATAAATATGTAACTTTACATATAAAAATATGTAACTCGCGTATATTAAGATGTAACTCGCGTACAATAAGATATAACTCGCGCAGAAGAAGATGTAACTTCATGATATATTATCAAATGTAACTTCAAAAATCAAAATAAACAAACTCAATGTCTTAAAAACCTCTAAATATATATAAAAGTGATAAAAAAAAGTTATAAAAAGTTTGTCCATATAAAAAATATAACAAAACGTGTATGAATATAAAAAGTATATTAAAAAAAGTATATGAATATAAAAATTAATACAAAAAAAATAGTGTATGAATATTAATTGCAAAATACTTATTTTATTTAGATTAATAATTTTTTTGGTATGCATTGATAAAGAATAAAAAAAATAGAAAAGAATTATGAAATAAAATATACTTGTTTATGTGGATTAATAAAATTTTGTAAAAATTATGTAAATAAAAAATGTAAATTCAATTGTATTTTAATTAGTTAAAGATAAAGAAATAAAGAAATAAAGAAAGAAAGCACTAACTGGATGAAAAAGAAAGAAAACACTAACCGGAGGAAAAAGAAAGAAAGCACTAACCGGAGGAAAAAGAAAGCTTCCGTAATGAGTTTAGGGAGGGGGAAAACGACACCGTGTTAGGACCGGCATACCATGCTCATGGTATGCCGGTTGCACGGTATAATTTGCGTGATCAACAGGGTGTCAACGAATTCGAGAATCTTCGAGAGAGAGAAAACTTGGGCCCAGAAGAACGTTGGTCCACGTGGAGGCGTGTGATTGGCCGGGAAGCAGATCGCCCAGCTCCAATCGCGATTAGGCATCTGGTGGAAGGCGGCGAGGGAGCATCCGGCGGCCATGACGAGGGAGAGGAGGCATAGGATCAGGTTGTGTGCGGCGGTGATTACGTGGAGGGAGACGGAGGAGAGGGGTGGGAAAAAGCCAGAGCGGTGGAGAGAGAGTTATTCCGAGATAGGTGATGACTGTGGGGGCAAGGAAAAGGGGAGAAGAGCCTAATGTGTGGCCTTGTTTCCACTCGAATTGGCTTATTGATGGGTGATCCACCAGCCAGTAGCGGACGGAGGGGATGACAACCTCCATGGCAGTTTAGATAGAGATGAAACGATTCTTCTCTGGCTGAAGCAAAATTTTACTCTCTGTGACGGAGGAGTTGGGATAACCCTCATTAGCCGAAGGTGGAGTACGGACAAGACAGGTAATGCCACTCGCCATTTGCTCTGGCACGGTCCATTTTCGGCCCAAATTGTTTTCATTTTTCAATGGGCCGTTTGGCATGGTTTATTTTAGGCACAAGACTTTGGAACCAAGAACCGGATTTATGATCTTATTTGGTTTGATTTCAAACCGATGATTTGATTTCTATTTTTATTAACGGTTTGGTTTCCAAAATTCCTATAAAAATATGTATTCGAGATTGTTAAGGAACCGTTATATAATAATTAGAATTTTATTTATTAAAAAAAAAAATCTACCACTCCTGTTAGTTCAAATGAAAATAGGAAGCATCTGTCGAAATATGAAGGGATGCCCTTCTTTCTTTATCTTCTTCATCTTGACATCCATAGTTGTACATTAGGAAATGAAAGCTCTAGCTCGGTCTGAATTGACCGGTTCTGCCGGATTTTGACCAAACTGGTATTTACCCAGCAATGAGGATTTCCATTCCAGTTTCTTAAAAATAGAATCTCATCATAACTCTCCCCTATATATTAGGGATTCATTGCGGAAAACCTCATTTAAGTTTTTGGTAATTGTAAATATTATAAATATAACTCCATGTGAATATTAACAAATGATTGCAACACATGAAAGGTAGAGATGAAAAATCCTCATTATAACGAGTACCCAACTCAGGAGAGTTTCTAATTGCATTAGAACCCTCCCCGAAAAAAGATCTTGTCTAGCCGTCCAGACGGGATCCTCTGTCTTGTCATCGTCGTTTGGGTGGTTCCTGTTGGAATTTTTTTATGAAATTTTTTGATCATGTTCTTCATGAAGTATAGATTGTGTCCATAAAATTTGAGATTAATATTTTACCAAAAAGCCAGTTAAATTATTTTTTAAAAAATAATGCACTTTTATTGAAAAATATTGCACTTTTAGGAATAGGCCTTAGGTGATGTTGTTTTTGTACTGTGCTTTTATATATATATATATAGTTTGGCGCAATATTATTCAATAATTTATTATAGTGACTTCCGAGTTTAATTTTAGGCTGAAATTTTTTAGACATAATATACATCTGATGAAGAACATGCTAAAAACATCATCAAAAATTTAACCAGAAATCACTCCAAACAGCAGCGGCCGGACAAATGATCTTGTCCAACCAACATGACAGAAACATTACTCTCTCTTTCTATATATATATATATACACACATATATATATATGATGAGTAACTCACCAGTTTGGCATCCTGAAGTGCAGCTTCCATTGTTTGCATTTTCTGCATGGGCCACCAAAATTCAAGTTTATATACGGCTAACACTTCAATTAATTATGGAGTATTACGTGTATATATATCACTATAAAAAATCAATAGAAATAAATAATGGGATTGACACGGATTTGACATGAATCTTTGGCAAAGATTCACCACAATTTATAGGAAATTGGCATATATTTAACGAATTACGTCAATTTTGTGCCAAATATATGTTATGATCCATGTCAAACTCGATTAATCAGTGCCTATATGTGTATGTAAAAAAAACATGGAAAAAATATTCTATTTTTTTTGTATATATCATGTCTGTCCCAAGCCAGGAAAAAGGAGAAGGGTGTTGTGGTAGGCGCGTGACAGCCAACAGTATCACTTAGTCACATCACATGACATGAATCGAAATATGAATATCGCTACAGCTAGGTCGTCACCCGTAAGCGACGCATCATCCCTCCGTCTGGGGTGGTGTCAAATATGCAAAGGCGCGCTACACTTCATAGGCCTGGGTGTGGTGATAAGAATGTTAAGGCTGCTAGGTCGTCGCCCGGAAGCGACGTGCCGCTCCAATGCCCGGGGATGGTGTCAAATATGCAAGGGCATGGTGGGAGTCGATGTGGTGTGATGAAGAGAAGGCAGGGTGCTAGATTGCGTTTTGGAACATGGAATGTTGGCTCTCTTACGGGAAGATCATCTGAGATAGTCGAGGTTATGAAAAGGAGGAATGTCAGCATAATGTGCATGCAAGAAACTAAGTGGGTTGGAGAAAAGGGACGTGAGATTAATCCCGGAGGTTTTAAGTTGTGGTATTCGGGGAGAGAAAGGAACAGAAATGGAGTAGGCATTATGGTGGCACATGATTAGGTTGAGGGTGTCGAGGAAGTCTTCAGGAAGAACGACCGCATCATGAGCATTAAGTTGATTATAGGAGATGAGATCGTGTCAGTGGTAAGTGCCTATGCACCACAAGTGAGATTAGATGCATCTATCACTCAACAATTTTGGGAGGATCTTGAGGAGGTGGTGCGACGAGTGCCAAGGGGAGTGAAGCTGGTCATAGGAGGCGACCTCAACGAGCATGTGGGCCCAAGTCGTGATGGTTTTGAGAGTATCCATGGCGGACATGGTTTTGGCACTAGAAATGAAACGGGGAAGAACATTCTGGATTTTGCCTCGACATATGAGTTGGTTGTGATGAACACTTGGTACGAGAAAAGAGACTCTCACCTTGTGACCTATAGAAGTGGAGCTAATAGTACCCAAATTGACTACTTTTTAGTACGAATGACTTGGAGAACTAGCTACACTGATTATAAGGTTATCCCAGGTGAGAGTGTTGTCACTCAACATAGGATGCTTGTGCTTGATTTTCAAGGTAAAAAGAGAAGGATGGTTAAGGTACAAGGGGAGCCAAAGAAAAAGTGGTGGAGACTCGAGGGGGATCTCCAACAAACTTTTGCACAGAAAATGTTGGAGGAAGATGTATGGTCCATTGATAATGATGCACATGTGGATGGTGTGTGGTTATCAATGGAGTCCACCTTTAACAAAGTGGCGAAAGAGATACTTGGAGAATCTAAAGGATGTTTACCACAAAAAAAAGGACACATCTTGGTGGAATGATGAGGTAAAACAAGCAATAAGGATCAAAAGAGAATGCTATAAGAAATTGGGCAAAAGTTGGAGCGACGAGAACATAGAGGAGTACAAAGAGGGTAGAAGAAGAGCAAAGAAAACTGTAAAGGAAGCAAGAGGAAAAGTGAACAAAGAATTGTATATAAAATTAGACTCTAAAGAAGGAGAAAAAGATATTTACAAACTTGCTCATCTTCGTGACCGTAGGACTCAAGATATCGGAAAAGTTAAGTGTGTGAAGGATGTCGATCAAAGGGTACTAATGGAGGACGGGGAGATAAAAGAGAGGTGGAGGTCATACTTTGATAGACTATTCAACGGGAACAAAGCGCAAGATATCGGTGATTTAACCATACCAGATTGTATGGTAAATCGTGATTTTGTGTGAAGGATCCAAACAACGGAAGTTAAGGAGGCTTTGAGGAAGATGGGGCGGAAGAAAGCATTGGGTCCAGATGGCATATCGATTGAGGCTTGGAGAAGTTTGGGGGAGAGAGGCGTCGAGCGGTTAACAAGTTTCTTCAACATGATTTGGAGAAACAACAAGATGCCAATGAGTTGGAGGAAGAACACTTTTATCCCCTTATTCAAGAGTAAAGGTGATGTACAAGATTGTGCCAACTATCGAGGGATTAAGCTTATGAGAAACACCATGAAACTTTGGGAGCGATTGATTGAGCAAAGACTTCGAAGAACTGTGAAGATTCAGAGAATCAATTCGGTTTTATGTCTGGCCGCTCAACAACTAAGGTCATTCACCTTCTTCGGCAACTTATGGAGAAATATAGAGACGCTCACAAGGATCTGCATTTAGTGTTCATTGACTTAGAAAAGGCATATGATAGAGTACATCGAGAAGTTCTTTGGTGGGCCTTAACTAGAAAAGACATATCACGCAAGTATATCAACATCATCATGGATATGTATGAGGATTGTACTACAAGTGTCCGTACTAGTGTAGCGAGGACTACGGAGTTCCCTATTTGATATGAAGCAGAATCTGGGATTGGAAGAAGAGGGGAAGAAGCCCCCGTGGGTTTACCGAAGGCGGGACGGGCTTGAGCCTACCTCCGTGGGCTTGTTACGGGCTGTTTAATTAATATTTATTCTTTTTAATTTTCCTGATTTGTTTCCTATTAGGAGTTAGATTTCTAATATTTGTTTCCTATCAGGAGTTAATTAGGATTTCTATTATTTCTTTCCTATTTGAAGTTGATTAGGATCTTTATTATTCTGTTTCCTTGTTGGAGTTGATTAGGATCTCTAGGATTTTGTTTCCTAGTTTAAGAGTTAGTAGATGGGTATTTAAACCCCTTGTTAAGATTCATTCTGGCTCATCTTGGAATAAAAGTTGGTTTAGCCTTTTGGCTTTGGGCAACGGTATTTATTTATCGTTGATTATCGGGCAACGGTTCACCCCGTTGATTTTATTTTTTTCTGTTCTTATCAATTGGTCCGACCTGCCGGATCCCGTCCCGCCAGAATGACGAGATCTATCAGTGAACATTTGTCAGAGATGAAGCAAACCCTGGAAGCAAACGGCAGGCGGCTGGCAGAGATCGCCGAATCCCTTGCGGCGCTGACCAAGGCCCTTGTGCCATCGATCACGACAGAGACACCATCAGACACAGTCATCGGTGCCGCCATCGTAGCGGCAACACACAACGACGGACCTCCGCGCAGCACTCCTCCAACGATGCTGCCCATGTTCGACAGAAAAGAACCTATTAGGTGGATAGCTAGGGCTGAGCAAAAGTTCGAAACTAATCAAACCCTACCCGAGAGGAAAGTGACAGCAGCTACAGTAGCCATGGAAGGAGCTGCCTTGGACGGGTTGACCTGGTTGAAGGCACAAAAACCGAGCATGACCTCGGAGAAATTTACACAAGCACAGGTGGCCCGATTTGATTCACGGTTCAAAGAAAGCCGATTCAAACGGCTGTTCAGAGTCAAACAGTTGGGAACCGTAGAGGAATATAATAACCTTTTTGTTCAATTGGCCAGTCAGGTTCCCGGACTGTCCGATGATTATTACTTGGGGTATTTCATGAACAACCTGAAAAGATCAATTGGCAGCTTCCCTCAAGATACGGGGCAGCCCCCGGGGACAAATATGAGCCGGTTTCCGGATTTCAACCTTGAGGACAAGGTTTTTTCGAAGAGGGACGGAATTGATATGAAGCAGAATCTGGGATTGGAGAGGGGAAGAAGCCCCCGTGGGTTTACCGAAGGCGGGACGGGCTTGAGCCTACCTCCGTGGGCTTGTTACGGGCTGTTTAATTAATATTTATTCTTTTTAATTTTCCTGATTTGTTTCCTATTAGGAGTTAATTAGGATTTCTAATATTTGTTTCCTATCAGGAGTTAATTAGGATTTCTATTATTTCTTTCCTATTTGAAGTTGATTAGGATCTTTATTATTCTGTTTCCTTGTTGGAGTTGATTAGGATCTCTAGGATTTTGTTTCCTAGTTTAAGAGTTAGTAGATGGGTATTTAAACCCCTTGTTAAGATTCATTCTGGCTCATCTTGGAATAAAAGTTGGTTTAGCCTTTTGGCTTTGGGCAACGGTATTTATTTATCGTTGATTATAGGGCAACGGTTCACCCCGTTGATTTTATTTTTTTCTGTTCTTATCACTATTAGTATCGGAGTCCACCAAGGATCGGCTCTGAGCCCTTTTTTATTTGCCATAGTCAAGACGAAATATCGTGGTGCATGATGTTTGCCGACGATATTATATTGATTGATGAGACGCAATCTGGTCTTAAAGCAAAGTTGGAAGTATGGCGAGACACATTGGAGAACAAGGGTTTCAGATTAAGTCGAAACAAGACAGAGTACATGGAGTGCAAGTTTGGTGGAGGTAGAAGCAGTGGTAAAGCGGAATTACTCTAAATGGCAAGGAGATACCGATCAGCGATATGTTCCGTTACTTGGGCTCCATAATTCAGGACGGTGAGTTAGATGGAGATGTATCCCATAGAATCAGAACAAGGTGGATGAAGTGGAAGAGTGCGTCGGGATTTATATGACAGCAACTAGGCCTGCATTACTGTATGGCGTAGAGTGTTGGGCGGTGAAACAATGTCACATTCAAAAAATGAGTGTGGCGGAAATGCGCATGCTACGTTGGATGTGTGGGCGTACTAGGAAGGACCACGTGAGGAATGAGACAATCAGACAAAGGGTGGGAGTAGCACCTATTGAAGACAAGATGCAGGAGTCGCGCCTACGGTGGTTTGGTCATGTGCGCAAAAGACCGAGTGATGCACTTCTCAAACGAGCTGAGATATGTGGAGAAGAGGCAGGGAAGAGAGGGAGTGGAAGGCCCAAACAGACGTGGGTTAGGGGAGTCCGAAGTGACATGCTTCTTCTTGGGTTAGACAAGGGTATGACTTTGGAGAGAGCAAAGTGGAGAGCAAGTATTCGTGTGGAGGAGTGATCTCGTATTATCTTTTCCCCTCATTTTTTCTTTTTCTTTTTTTGTTTTTTTAATCTTTTTATGCTTATATATATAAACATTATTTTTATCCTTTTTATTTTATCATTTTTAGGTATATTCATCTCTTTTTATTTATCTTTTCCATAATAGCTTATCTTTTTTATCTTTATTCTATTTCTCTTCCTTTTGGTGGTGATATCAAGTATCGATTCATGTTAGCCGACCCCAATATCTTTTGGGACTAAGGCTTGGATGTTGTTGTTGTTGTAGTATATCGGTTCACCCCTGATATATCAGGCTGCCTATGCAATTGCATGTATGGTTATATGTATGTAAAGATGGATGAAGCGGCCGAAAAGCGAAGCATACTAAATAAAGGTTTGTACAAGAGAGGGGCAGAAGTGACTTACTGCATTTGCATCATTGATGAGAGCATCTATTTTGTTGAGCACCAAGAGCGGATCAGTGGCTTGTGTTTGGACGGGCATCGTCATCACATCTTTACTCTCCGCCATCTCTGCCGCCTCCGCCGCCTTGACCTTGAGGGCGTCTATGATTTCAGGATCATTCCAGGGTCCTTTGTCACTTAAGAGGCAGAGATCATCGTAGCAGCCACCACCGCCGCAAGTGCAGTTACCACCAAAGAATTTCGGAAGATTGCTGTCGCCCCATGCAATGTTCAAATAAACACACGGAGACTGAATCTCATTAATTAATTAGTGTAGGTATTTAAGTACATAATCAACAACGAGGACGTACACCGTACACCCAGTGGTAATAGAGTGCTCACTGTACAACCGGATATTTTATATTATGGTTAATGAGTATAACGTTTAAAGGAAATGAAGGAAAAGGGTCAAATAAACCTTTCTACTATTTTCAATCCATCACTTACGCCCCTCTACTTAAAAAAAACATCATATAAATACGCTTACTTTTAGAATACAATCAATTAGGCCATTTTGACCTCCTACAACAAGTTATTTTTTTAACATTAAATTAGGAATATTAAAAAATCTTACAAAAATTCATATAAATTTGAAAAAAATAGTATCATAATAATCTAAAACATTGTATAAATGTAAAAATAGATAAACAATTTTAAAACGTTAAAATAAAATAAAAAATCAGAAAACTGAAAAAATAAAGTGAAAATATAAAATATAAAATAAAAATTTTAAAATCTTTTTAAATAGATTTAGAATATACAAATTATTTCAAAAATTCAAAAATATTGATTTTGACATTCTAAATATTTTCAAAAATTTTTATAAATATTTCTTCAATTTGTAACAATTTTTAATTTTTTAAATATTAATAACCTACTATTACAAGTCAAAAACTGCTTATATGCAATGTTCTAAAATGCGTAAGGCGTGCCGAGGCGGCACAGTCAAGCCTTTGGAGCCTAGGCTAGCTTAGGCGGAATTTAGGCGTAAAAAGGCGTTTGGATTTTTTATCCTATATTTTAGTTTTCCTGGAGTTATTTATGATATTTAAATTTGATATTAAATATTGTTATTTAAAAACATCATACTTTTCTCATTTTCAACAAAAAAGATTTGTCAAATCCTAAATCTAACAAATATGGGGTATAAATTTATCAAGTACATAAAAGCTAGAACTGAAAAAGTAATTTAATAATAAATATTAATAAAAATAAATAATACCTAATATATCATATGTCGTTATTTTAATACTAATAATTATAAGCATATTATATTAAAATAAGAGTAAATTAGTAATAATATACTGTTAAATAGTCCATATCATACTTCCATTCTCCCACACCGGATGTGAAGGGAAAATTACTCCTCCTAAATCTCTATAAATTGAAGTCACTTACGCTTCAACACCATGCAACTAAAGCTAAAGCAATAACCCATTTAGGGGGTCTACGTAACTTTGATTGGCCCAACAAGGCTTTAATTCATTCTTTTAATAGTTCAAATGGCTTAAAGCAGCGTTTGATGCCGCCATCACTACATGCGGGGCGTTTGGCCTGCGTCTGGCGCATAGGCGCGCCGCATTAGAACACTGCTTATATGGCCAAATTGATCAATTTGTTAAAGTAGGCGTACTTATATGATCCTTTTTTTTTTACTCCGGGGGCGTCTGGGGGAGGGGGTCTGAGGGGCCTGGAGTAATTAGGGCTGAAACTCACTTCATTGAGTTTCGAACTCGAGGCCTCCCAGTCGGCGACCAGCTGGGCTGGACCGCTTCCTCTATATGATGCTTTTTTCAGTACAGAGGCTTAAGTGACAGAATTGAAATAGTAGAAGGGCTTATTTGATCCTTTTTCCAAGAAAAATTTACCCCAGTGCCGTAAAGGCTCCCACCTACGGTGGGATAAGGGGGGGTCGGATGTACGCAGTCTTACCTCTGTACTAAAGCATAGAGAGACTATTTCCTGATGACCCATAGTGAAAATCGCGTCCAAAATTGCATGGATTGACTGCTGCTTCATAACAAAGAAGCGCAGACAGTTTAATGAGTCATTTTGCTTTATTCCATCATATTCTCGAGCCAAAAAAAAATGAATCTTTGGCTCCATTGCAAATGATGGAAAATTCCAAGAAAATGAATATTGGTACTAAATAAATGTATTAGCACAATTGAGTATAAAAGCATGCAATTGAGTATCATGATCGACACATAATATATGCTACAAATCAACTTATTCATTCAACTTATATATCATCAAAATATATTTTGTGCTAATTTTATAATTTAGTACCAATACTCATTTCTTTTAAATGTTATACTCATTTCTTTTAACATAGAATACTCGATTGTACCATGTGCACGATACAACCGGTTGTACGGTATATTTTGTCATCTACAGCAACTAATTAATTAATTAATTAATTAGCAAACACATGCATCATATCCATCCGAACAAAAATGTTATTTTAATTACTTTTACCTTGGGTCAATATCTTCGAGTAGGTCACTAAGGTAGTCCTTTCCCAGCACCTATGTATATGCATAATATATGTATATATCAGTTAGGAAATAATAATGATTATTTTTTCTTGATCCAGATTAATTTACTTCTTTTGTATGTTTCAGATAATTTAGAAAAGAGGACTATTAATTATTTATTTAATTACGTACTTTGATCTTCACCAAAGTGCGGTTTTCAATAAAACGCTTTATTGCCGCCCAAAGGAGTTTAAACCCAGGTCCTGCGTTAATTATAAAAAGCCGATGGAGTGTCTGCAATTCATCCAACACAAGCTAATTATTAAGCTAGCCTAGCTACACAATTTATATTACTAGGCATCTGCCTGCCTGCCTGACTAATAATTAAGTCAGTCATATAATTTTGCATGTATACCTCCGGATAATAACTGCTGTCTATCTTTTGGATTTTCTTAAACATCTCTTTTGCCTGTTTAGAAAAGTGAGACATCCCCTGCATGCACCCATGCAATGGTAGAGTCAGAAATGTACCGTTAAGGAGGCCGGATCTTGAAAGTTTCACATTACAAGGGTAATAAAATATCAACATGTTTTTTCTAGATTAATAATATTAATATAACATTAAACTAACACCTTTCTTCAAAACCACTTCCAGAATTTTGCATTTTATTTCTTTTCATGCCCACATTCACCTAAATACTAACATAAACATAACCACAAATCTAAATGCAAATAACTAAATATAGAGTTAAAGATATACATATACACAAGCATAAGTGCATAACCCTTGGTTTAGATACAAACACAAAGGTAATTAAAATATACTCCCTCCGTCCCATTTTACCTGTCTTTCCTTATTGGGTTGTCCCAAAATAAGTCTCACATTTCCCTTTTTGGAAAGAAATATGATAGTATATGGTTCACATCATTTCACTTTATTATACTCAAATATCAACCATAACTTTTATCTTTTCAACCACTTTAATAATAATTGTGTCAATCTCAAACGAGACACATAAAATGGGACGGAGGTAGTACTACGTATGTATTAATGTATAACGTATATTTCAAGGTTTAAAAGGCGGGTTCGAATATCTAGGCAGTTTGTTCCTAGGAGGCGAGGCGTAAGCCTTGAGGCGTATTAAGGTGTAAGTCTCAAAATATATAGACATATAAAGGTTAAAATAGTTAAACTATAACAAACAACTTAAGATAGTTATAACCTATAGTTTATAAAGGATATATCCATAATTATAAGTACAAAAAGTGTGAAACTCAAACACATATGAGCTAGTACCTCTAAGTCATTAAAATTCAAACACACAAACACAAACATCACACACAAACAGACATATAACACACAGAAACATCACACACAAACTAAAAGATGAATAGGAAGTATACATTAGGGATTTATGGTTTAAATGAATAAAAGACTTGTTAAGGCTTAAATGAAATAAGACTTGTTAGGGTTTAGTCTGGCCACATGTTTAATTAATGTACTTCTATTCAAAAAGTACTCTGGGCGTTTTATTAAATGAAATACTTTGGGCCTTTTTTAAGTTATTGCACATTAAAAACAGAGAAACAAAGAAACACGCCTCAACAAATGCCTCTAAGGCGCGCCTCAAGGTGTACACCTCAACTTTTGAGACATGAGCCTCTTAACCTGCAAAAAGAAAAAAGAAAAAAACGGATACCCAATCTGTACGCCTCACCTTGAGGCATGCTTCAAAACCCGCCTCTTAAGCGTCTTTTTAAACCATGCATATATATAAACACAAATGTAAGCATATGCCTACGCATAACTAAACACATACAGGTAAACATAAACAAATGCCGGCCTAAACCCAAGGTTGTTAAAATCGTATTTTTTGATCGAATCGGAATAAAGGTTCAAAAATCAAATCGTAAAATCGAATCGTAAATCGTAAGATTTTATAATAAAGAAATTATTAAAAAATATTGCATAAAAGGAAATGTACAATTTATCATTTATAAGTCAATTTATTGCAAATTTAAGTCTGCTAGTTAAACTATTATATGTTTTTTTGTCTTATAATGATATCTTAATTAAAGTGCACAAAATAATGTTATGTAATCAAAGAGAAAAAGTCATTCAATAAATAAATATAATTTTATAATCAAGTTTTAGAATGGTAAAATTATATAAATACGGAGATTGCTAAATTTTTTAGAATAGAAATAATAGCTAAGTTAATATAAGTATGTTTAAATTGTATAACTATAAGCTTAAAATTTACTACATACGAATAAGTACGTAGTATATAACTATGTTCTTACTAAATCACATTCTATGGCAGTTGCTCAGCCAATGGTGGGTGCGTTCAATCCGTAGTTTAGAACGGAGGTTTTTTTCTCAAATCCATCTTTCCCACACCGGATAGACAAGGCAAATTGTCCTCCATATAGCGCTATATAATGCTGATGCCATTTGAGACAATGGCAGGACACAGCACCGTAAGCACCTATGGGCCAGAGCAACTCGGGCCTTGTTTCGCTTTAGGTTGGGCCATGTTTGGCTTGAGTCAAAAAGAATGTTTAAAATCGTAAAATCGGATGTAATCGCGATTTTAGACGATTTTGCCCGATTTCAAAGCGATTTTATGCGATTTAATTATTTCCGATTTTGTTCACGAGTCAAATCAGGTTATAGATGTTGAATCGTAAAATCGGACGATTTTACGATTTAACTCGCGATTTTGATAACCTTGCCTAAACCCACACGTAAACATAATTTTAAATATGTAGATAAACATAGACCTCAAAAAAGACGGATCGAGCAATCCCTGCCTATCTCAATATTGTCAAAAATACATAGTAGGTATATATTTAAAATATTGAATTTCCCACTCCTATGTTTAATTTAAAATTGGACTTTGCACCACATTTCTTTATCCTTCGAAATTAAAAACACAAGCCCCAAAACCTGGTCGCTTTTATTACACTTTGAACTCATAATTAGATTACATATATTTGTCTTTACACCCCACTAAGGAAGCCAAATCAAAAGATTGAAATGAAATAAAATTTTCACAGTAGATACATGGTTCTCCGGGGGTATGTATTGTTTTAATTAATATGAGAAAAATATGAACAAATAGCATAAATAGGAATATTTTTATCTTCTCCTGAAAATAAGACTTATTTAGTTTTAATGAAAGAATTGAATAAAAGTACTTCCTCCGCCCCTGAATTATCTTCCAATTTTCCTTTTCCGTCAGTCCCAAACTAATCTTCTCTTTCCCTTTTTGGCAAAGAATTTGTGGTTCACGGTACTTCTTACACATTTCTCTCTCTTCTGCACAACTCTCAATCACACAATTCCCACTTAGTTCCCGTGCGAAACACACTTTGGAAGATAATTTAGGAAGGACACTAGTAATATACAAGTAGTTATAGTAGTGCATAAGTACTACTTGAGGAAGAAGACATTAGAGGCTCTTAGCTTTTTAGGGTATGTATATGTTTTCTTTCTTATAATCTTATTTAGAAAACTTTCTCAAACAAAAACAAGCCCATACACGAATGCAAATTAAAGGCAAATATACTAACCACATCCTTCACATCTAAGATGCTTGTAGTGGAAGCTATAAACTTGTTGGCAGCAAGGGAACAAGCAGGATATCTCAAATTCAGAGTTTTTTCTTGTTCGCTTACGTGATACTTCACAAATCTGTCAATTGTTGTCGCTTGAAAGAGCTGATGGATATCTACCATTCCAATCCTTTCAATGTATATTGGCCGACCATATTTATCTACTCCATGAAAGCCGTGAGGGTAATACCTTTTCACCTCCTTATATTCATCAAACTTAAAATCCTGCGTCATTCAGTCATCCAACATAAATTTGTAGCGGCATATGTATCAATCACTATTACTTTTAATGCTATGTTTGGGTGATTGAGATACGTAACAGAAAAAATGGAATTAAAAAAAATTACTTTTCACTTCGCAATAATAAATTCCTTGTAAATGGCATACGCTCCGAAACGCGGAACGCTCCGCAATGCGAAACGAAAACGGGATCGCAAATCGCTAATATTTAAGATCCGATACGCTGGGGGTAGGCTTCTTCGGTACGCTATTTTGGTGCGCGGTACGTTGTACCATTAACATATACTACCTCTGTCCCGTTCGCATGTTCCCGTTCGGTTTACGATGCTTGACTGACGATAAAGCAACTCGATCCCTGTTCACACTCCGCTTACTTTTAGTAAATAAAATTTACATATTCAGAAACTACATTAAAACCGCTACAAAGTCTGATCAAGAAAAGTTCAATTTGAAAAAAATTTGATATATAAAGTAAAAGATTAGGAGTGACCTAAGTTGACCAATGAATAGTGAACGGGAACATTCCAACGGGACGGAGGGAGTACAATTTACAAAGTATAAATATAATATTAATAATATTAAACAATTAATGTAACATTCCAAAATCCAATTGTTTTCAATTCATAAACTGAATATACTTCAATTATAAGTTCAAGTATTCAACATATCATAAGTTTAACAAAATAACAAAAGTAACTTCAATAAAACTGTCATATTATGCCCGTGCCCATGCCCATACCCATACCCATACTCATACCGATACCTATACCTATACCTATACCTATACCTATACCTATACCTATACCTATACCTATATCTACATCTATATATTATACAATAGTTATACAATTGGGAGTTAGATTGGTTAAATCATATTGCCACATGTCATTCAATTACTCATTTGTGGCCACATGTCATTCTATTACATAATAATGACCATATGTCACTATAGTAGTTATTCATTTATAGAATATAATAGATCACTTTAATTACAATTATTTTCATTTTTCATTTATTTATTGATGATACAATACTATTTAATATAATAGTTAATATTAAATCACAATAGTTAAATATAATTACATCATGTTGTCTTTACAAGTTTACAATTTTCTTTTATTTATCATGTGGTTTAAACTTTAAAAAGGGGAAATTGCCCTAAATAGGAGTAAACAACTTTGGAAATTCAAAAATGGACTACTATGTTTTCTTCCGGAAATAGGAGCCGTTACTGTCATGTATATATTATACAATTGGGAGTTAGACTGGTTAAATCATATTGCCACATGTCATTCAATTACTCATTTATGGCCACATGTCATTCTATTACATATTAATGACCACATGTCACTATAGTAGTTATTCATTTACCGAATATAATAGATCACTTTAATCACAATTATTTTCATTTTTCCATTTATTTATTGATGATACAATACTATTTAATATAATAGTTAATATACAATCACAATAGTTAAATATAATTACATCACGTTGTCTTTAAAATTTTACAATTTTCTTTTATTTTATCATGTGATTTAGAAAGGGAAAATTGCCCTAAATAGGATTAAACAACTTTGGAAATTCAAAAATAGGACTACTATGTTTTTCTTCTGGAAATAGTAGTTGTTACTGTCATGATTGAAACATACTGCCATGATTGAAAAATACTGTCATTAATTATATTATATGTTAAATGCACAGTACTGCAACTATTGTCATCTTAGTCCTATTTCAGAATTCCAAACTCTATTTAGTCCTATTTTGGGACAACTCCCTTTAAAAAATTACTTTTTACCTATTGGTTTCTCTATAATATGTTCAGTTCAATTATTCACATAATGACATAATCAAAATGAGGGACAATAAAGGGAAAATAATTTTACCATCTATCACCCATAAACCAAGAATAATACATATTTTGACAATAATATTTAATAATATCAATTGTTTGAATATACAATAAACGTGATACAGAGCTATTTTTCATTTCTCACTAGAAATTTAGTCATTTAACTCATTAAGAACTAATATCAGAATATCAAGTAAGGGACATCATTTCGAAATAACCATTTTTTGATAGTTCAATATTGATTCGTGATGTCTTATGATTCAATTTCTAATCGGAAAGTGGGTCCATATTATGTTTTATCATATACTACCTCCGTCCCAAAAAAGTTTGCCATTTCCAAAAAATTGAACCTTAATTTTGATTAGTATAAAATTATGTAAGTTATAAATTTTATACTTTTAAGAAAGTAATTTTAACAAAGAACATTTTCATATAACTTTTATATTTTAAATCATTTTCAATAAAAAGATATAGCTGGTCAAAGTTTTGAAAATGGCAAAGTTTTTTGGGACGGAGGTAGTATTCAAATACTTTGTATGATTAAAATTAATTTTAAAGTTATTGATTTACGGGTGAATCGTTGGTATTTTTTAAAGTTAATTTCTTGTCACTTAAAAGATTAAAATTACCTCAATTTTCTTACAATTGTTTTGCCTCTACTTATTTAATTATGATTACTTTCAAATTATTATATCTCTGAACACTTCTCTAATCCTCTCCCTAGATAATTAAATGTTTCTACAAATATGACACATATTTACTCAAAAATGAGAAAATCCCTATAGCAGTTTATAATTTGATGGTAACACCCTAAGTTAATTATTATTGTAAAGATGATGAGCAATTGATAAGAGCAAACTACTACACGGAAAAAAGGGCAAATTATTATACTTCAAATGTATGTTTTATTTCTAGAAATACACTAGGAGTGTGTTCGGGTTTTTCGATTCGGTGTTGCCCAAAATTCAATATGGAATGAAAGTAAAAAACTGAGTTTGATTTTACATTTCAAATCGACATGGAACCTTGCTTTGACTGATTCAATTTGTTTTTATTCGATTTCAATTTTTTCGATTTTTTTAGAGAAGAATGTTGTCAATTCATTAAAAATGACACAATAGATAAGATGGGGAAATCTAACCAATAACATGGACAAAATGTAGGGATACTAGAAAAAATAAAATAAAATAAAAAAGAGGTGAGACGGACTAAATATGTCTTAAACTATACGTGAAAAACAAATATAAAAATAAAATGATGCACACATAATGACAAGCATACAAGAAAAACAAAACCAAACTAATCGACGAATAAATTGATATACATTTTATGGTAGATTTGAGTAAGATCTTGAATAGATTGCTTAAAAGGGGTGAGAAAGCATATTAGGGAAGCAGAAATAAGATGATAGAAAAATGGGAGGGCACAATAACGGATAGTGTGCTCGATACGTTATTTTTTAGGTGGGCCAGTCGTTAATTCTTGAGTTAAATATTTTTAATTGGACTACACCTTTTTAGTCTGGTGTATATGATTGTATGTCTAAGGAGTGTTTGTGATTGCTTTAAAAAAGTGATATTTTAAAGTGATTTTGGGAAAAGTGATTAATAGTAAAAGTTGGTAGTGTTTGAGAAAAAAGTGATTCTGAAAAAATAAAAGTTGGTAGTGTTTGGTAAAATTAGTACTTTTTGTGTAATAGAAAAAGTGAGAAGCAGTTTAAAGCACCTTTCTACCTGCTTCCAGCTTTTAGCTTTTAAGTGATTAATTTAAGCAGAAACTATCATTTGAAAACACTCTTTTCAACTTTTTTAAAGCCAAAAGCTGAAAAGCGCTTTTTTAATCAACCCCAAACACTCCTTAAGTCAAATGTTGAAGCATTTGTCTCACACCGGAAAGCTACTAAACAATTAAACACTATATAAGGCTCTGGGCTACTCTTCCTAGTTCCTATCAGGTTGACTTTTTAGGATGGAACTTCAGGTCTTAACATGGTATCAGAGCCAAATTGATCCATGGTGTGAACCCACTTATGAATAATGATGACACGATTATTAAAAAAATGACATTGACGAACCGATGGAAAAATGAATGACTGCACGATTCAGACGAAGTGTCTGGTCGTGGGGAGGGGTGTTGAAATTCTTACACCGAATATTTGTGGAGGCATTAAGTGTTATATTAAGATGGGGATTACTCCTATCAGGTTGACCTTTTAGGATGGAACCCCAGATCTTAACATGTTAAATGTCCCACACCGGAAAAGTTTGGATGAACAAAGTGTTATATTAACACATGGTCTACTCCTCCTATTAGGTTGACCTTTTAGGATGGAACTCCGAGTCTTAACATGGTATCAGAGCCAATTCCAGTTGTGATTTGACGACTTGTTTAGTACCCATGATTAAGGGTAGCTTGTTAAGGGTTTGTTTGACCCGTTTATACACCCCGATATTGTCCATTCCGGTTCGGGGTGAGGGGTGTTAAAGCATTTGTCCCACACCGGAAAGCTATAAAACAATTAAACACTATACAAGGCTTTGGTCTATTCCTCCTATCAGGTTGACCTTTTAGGATGGAACCACGGGTCTTAACATCAAATCTCAACTTATCTGCTAAATGTATATTATATTAGTATTTTATCATTGTTTGATTCTGGTCAAGTCTGGTCTATTCATGACTGTTAAGTGTTTAAGTTTGTTGCGGTCCGGTGTGGTCTTTTTATATCTGGTCTGGTTTGAGGCTAAATACAATTCAATTTAAAACATTCTTGACAGAGATAATTGATTTAAGTATCATTTAACTGATATATCACAAATAAAATGGATCTCAAATTCATATACACAAACCTAAGAGTACTTAATTAAAGAGTTTATAAAAATACTTTATAATGGTGAAGAAGTTTAAAACAATAGCTCTAACAATAAAGTAAATTACTGTTTAACGTTATTAATATTATGTATTACGCTGTGTGGACTCATTTATGTAAAATTATTAATATAAGTTAATATATTTTTCGTAGAATCTCTAATGACAAGATTAGAAGTTCAAATATCAATAAACTTTTTTAATAAAATATAGTACTATATATATTCATCCTACTTTATCAGAGTTGATTGAAATTACCTTTAAATTA